CTTCCTCCTCTTCTCCTCCTCCTCCTCCTCCTCCTCCTCCTCCTCCTCCTCTTCCCCCTGTTCCTCCCCGCAGGCACGACTCAACTCGCAATCTGCCCGCTCAGCCACGCGCGCCCGCTGCCGGCGCCAGCTGGACCAGGCCGCCCGATTGCAACCCGCGCGGGGCCGTGGGCCCACCTCCGCCCCCTCTCTGCCTTCCTCGTCCTCTTTCTTCCTCCTCCTCCTCCTCTTCCTCCTCCTCCTCCTCCTCCTCCTCCTCCTCCTCCTGTTCCTCCTCCTCCTCCTTCTCCTTCCCCCCCTCCTCTTCCTTTTTTTTGGCAGCAACGCACAGGCTTCAGAAGAGATCGAGACCACTCCCCACTCCACGAAGATGCCGAACGAGTCCACACGGCAGAACGTGTCTGGGAAGCGGACCGCGATGACACGGATCTGAGACACCTCCTTATTTAGCATCTGCCTGTGATACAGTACTGCACAAACCAGAGCCCATTCCCCACGAATTGCCACCCTCGACATGAATAAGCACGACAACCTCCAGAAGACAACAGCCAGGCCCTGCTCGTGGAGGCCTGCTTCGCTTTGCACGACAAGCACCATTCCCACGAAAAAAAACAATGACAAGTACCAGGATGCAGGCCACTGAGGAAGGCGAACTCAACCAATCCGAGAGACGAATACCGAGAATAGACACCTGAGCCAGTACCCACAACATATGCAAATTGTCAGTCAAATGAGAAAAGGCGGCCTTTTTTTGGGTCGGGTGGCAGCCCGCGCGGCTCCCACAGCGCGCCACCCGCAGGCTCGGGGACATGGATATCGTCCAGCGATGGCCCCAGCCAGACACTGGCGACTGCCGCGCGCGCAAGCCACCAGCCAGGGGAGCGGCGCGACGCCGCGTCGCCAGCATGCAAAACTGGCTCGGTGCCAAGTGGCTCGCCACCCAGAGAGTCCTTCGCCTCGAACTTCCCGCGCACCGCGTCCAGCAAGGACCTCGCCGCCGCGGCCCTCGCGGGGGAGAGAGCCTCCTCTCCGAGCCGCCATCCGCTGGCTCTGCACGGGACGCACTCGCCCAAGAAAGCCACGGCCCCGCACGAACAGCGCAAGCCACACGCCAGATCTGCGACCTGCACAGCGGACGGGGCGAAGGGCGCCCTGCTCTCCAGCGGTTCCCAGGAGCTTGCGCCTGGCACGAAGACGTCGGCGTCCGCGCGCAGCTCCATGTCACCACGCGGACGCCTGGCCTCGAGGCGCGGGCCGCGCTGCGCACGCCTCCACACACAGGGGGGCGCCGAGGCCGCTGGGCAGCGCAGCGCGTGCCACGACACGTTGCGGCGCACGCGGTACTCCAGCAGCTCCGGGACACCGGAAAGCCTGGCCACCAGCGCCGGCCTCGCGATGGCCTCGCGGCGGCGAACCTCGTCCGCGGTCTCGCCAGTGCTGCAAGCGGCTGCACTGTCCAGCAGGCCCTGCAGGCGGCTGATCTCGAACCGAGCCGCGCCCAGCTCGTCCTTCAGCTTGGCGATGAGATTATCAGCGGACGCCCGAGCCCCTGCCCTGCCCCTCAGCGCGCCTTGCGCCGCCGAGGCAGGTCCCACAGCCACCATTGCTCCGAGAGCCCAAAGCCCCGCTCCCCCAAGTCCCCAACGCCCGCCGCGTTGCCCCGATGGGTTGGGGTCGCAAGGTACGCCTGGGGACAAGGTCCAGGAACGGGGGGTCTACGGAACGGCTAGAGCCAAAATGGCTAGAACCAAAATGGCTACGGACCTCCCTCCTTCTCCTTTTCTTTCTCTCTCCTCCTCCTCCTCCCCGCCTCTGGAAAAGGGCAACGAACGGAGGGGTCGATCCTCCCTCGTCCCTCCTCCTCCTCCTCCTCCTCCTCCTCCTCCTCCTCCTCCTCCTCCTCCTCCTCCTCCTCCTCCTCCTCCTCCTCCTCCTCCTCCCAGTGGTGCCCGCTAGCTTCTGTTCTGCGCAGGGGACACGATTTGTCCGCTTCAACTGGCGCCTGCTGTAGGCAGGATCTAAATTTCAATGATGGACGTACCGGCCTCTCTTCGGTTTGGGGCTGGCGCCCGTCAGTCTCTTCGAACTTTGGTGGCGCGCAACAGTTCGCCTATTGCAAGTTGGCCTGAGAAAGGAGGAGGAGGAGGAGATGGAGGAGGAGATGGAGGAGGAGGAGGAATGAGGAGGAGGAGAGGAGGAGGAGGAGGAGGCGGAGGGGGAGGAGGAGAAGAGAGGAGGAGGAGGAGGAGGAGGAGGAGGAGGAAGAGGGGAGGAGAGGACGAGGACGGAGGAGGAGGAGGAGGAGAGGAGGGAAGAAAAAGAAGATGAGGAGGAGGAGGAGGAGGAGGAGGAGGAGGAGGAGGGGAGGGAGGAGGAGAGGGAGAGGGAAGGAGGGATGGGGGAGGGAGGAGGGAGCGGAGGGAGAAAGGAGGAGGAGAGGAAAGGAGGAGGGAGGAGGAGGAGGAGGAGGAGAAGGAGGAGAGGAGGGAGGAAGGAGGATGGAGGAGGAGGAGGTGATGGAGGTAGGAGGAGGAGGAGGAGGGAGAGGGAGGAGGAGGAGGAGGAGGGAGGAGGAGGAGGAGGAAGAGGAGGAGGAGGAGGAGCAGGAGCAGGAGGAGGAGGAGAGAGGAGGAGGAGGAAACCTCCTCTTGTTCCTGCCTTCGAGGATGCGCCGCCCAGGGGTGATTATTCCACGTGGCCCGTTCGCGCCCGCATCGGCGGGACCGCTCGAACAGAACGCCCGTTTGGAGGAGTTGGCTCTGGTGCATTTCCGAACTCAGCCACTTTGTCGATGGTAAAACGTTAGGACTCTGGGTCTTCTATTGCGCCGGGCAAGGCTGCAGTGTATGAGTGCGTGTGCGGGCAGCGCGCAGCAAGGCAGCTAAAGGTAGGCGAAGATCACGAGAGTGAAAAGCAGGCCTGGCTGCCCAGCAAGCCTACCCGGGTCACCATGACCACCAGGGCCCGTTGACCGCCGCGACGTAGCAGGCATCGCACTCGCCCCCCCTCCCCCCCCCCGCCTTCACTCGCCTCTTCTCGGACGCGGGCTCTCCTGGGGGGCCGGCTCCCCGCCCTGGGGCCAGCTGCTGGGTCACGAGACGCTGTCTGACGGTCCAGCGACCAGGACACGGCCTCTGGAGGCAAGCGAAAAATGGCTGGCCGTCACGGTCGTCGTTGTTTTCTGCGGCGCCTGGGTCTGAGCGGCCGCTCCGAGCCGCCCGCGTGTGTGCGTGTGTGTGTGCGGGTGGGGGCGGCGGGGCGGCGGGGCGGCGGCGTTTGGTTGGCGACGGTTGGGGCGGCGTGAGGCGACGGCTGGGGCGGTGTTCGGCGACGGCCAGGGCGGTTCTGATGTCCGTGCCGACGACGGCCACGTGGCGGACGCGTGCGATCGCCTGCGCCCTGGCGACGGGGGCATGCCCGTGCGGTGGAAGATTCTGCCGGGGAGGAGGGGCGCTCGCCGCGGGCACGCCCCGCAAGGCTGCTGCCGCAGATCGCCTCCAAGACCGTGGTCGTGCACGGCGCCGAACAGGGGGGGGGGGGGGAGCAGCGCCGCTGCCCCGCCAGCGAAGCCATGGGTCCTCCTCCCTTCACTCGCTTCCGTCGGCGGCGAGCCCTGGGGGGGAATGCAGAGGGAGCGGGCCTTCCCAGGAGGCTCGGAACGCTTCGGGCCACGGAGAAGTGTCCTGGGCCTTCTCCGAAAACAGAGACGGCCTACAGTGGAGACCCATGCCAAGAAACACCCCGCTTGCCTCCAGGCTGCCCTGGGTTTCCTGGGCTTCGATGGTCTTGCGGTGGACAGCGTGACGTGCCCACATCTGAAAAAGAACTAAACAACAACAAAAAAACAAAAACAAACAAAAAAAAAGCATGGACGCCTTGGGGCCTCAGGGTTGGGCTTCTTGTGGGAGGCTTCCTGTGGACCTGGCCTCCACTGGAAAAGGGATTCCGAGAGGCGCCGCCGCCCTCCGAGGCGGCCTGCCCCCTCTCGCTTTCGCCCCCCTGGGCGCTCGCCGCCTCCCCACGGGTCCTGCAGGGCGGGGCCGCGGCGCCGAGAGCGCGCCGAGGGCGCGGGAGCCGTGGCGAGGCGCCGCAGTCGCCCGCAGCCTGTTCATAGTCCCCCTCTCCACGCACACGATTTCTTGGCAGAAGGAGAAGAATTGTAATAAGATCCCCCCTTTGCATGCACACGTTTCTGGCAGAAGAACACGAATACGACATGATAATTATTATAATAATCACACTCATAATCAGAATAGCAATTATAATCATGCTAATAATTATAGTTATCATTATACTAATAATGACAATAAGAATGATGATACTAGTCGTAATGATAATAACAATTATACGAATCGCACTAATAATGATACTAATAGTAATAATAACGACAATTGCATCAACAACAACGACAACAACGAATATCAACAATACTAGTACAATTAGAATAAACTACGGCTTCTGAAAAATAATAACAATAATAATAACAATGTTAGCAATAACACCAATAATAACAACAGTTGTGATAGCAATGATAATACAAATAGCAATGATAATAAGTGCACCCATAATAACAATCATAATGTTTGTCACACCTGCAATAGGGCGAATCAGAAAGCGTCGCAAGGGCACAACCTGTACGAGGTCCGCGCGCGAAGCTCGCCAGGGGCGGCGCCCTGGCGCGCGAACCGCTGCTCTCACAGCGTTCCAAGACGCTCCAAGAAGGCCGCGGCGCCCGAGACATTCTCCGGAGCCGCCGGACCTCAGAGATCCTCGGATGCAGGTTCCCCCGAGGGTATCCTCGCCCTGGCGTCATCTTTTCCTCGCCCTGGCTTCATCCTGATAGTCCCAACGCTGCTCTGGCCTCATCTCCCCTGGCTTCATCTTGCTCGCCCTGGCGTCATCTCTTCCTCGCCCTGGCTTCCTCCTGATAGTCCCAACGCTGCTCTGGCTTCATCTCCCCTGGCTTCATCTTGCTCGTCCTGGCTTCATCTTCCTCGCCCTGGCTTCATCTTCCCCCGAGGGTATCCTCGCCCTGGCGTCATCTCTTCCTCGCCCTGGCTTCCTCCTGATAGTCCCACGCTGCCCGGGTCCGCGCGGATCCCCCCGGGGTCGGCCCTGGGCGCCCCAGGAGCGGCGCGCCTCCAGCGCCGGCCGCCCCCCTCTTGGGGCGCGCGGTGCGCTCCCCGGGGAGCGCCAACGCTCTCTCGTCGGCGGCATCGCTCGGACGTGTGCATTTCTCCTTCGGCGAGGGCCCTCGAGGAGCATCCTTGATCACTTGGCGAAAAGAAACCACGCACGAAACCGACAAAAATCACGGGGAGTGGACGTCCGAGCGATGGCGAGTCGTCGGCGGCGAGGCAGAGGCAGTACGCACCAGCGCGGAGCTCAGCTTGCGTCGGGCGCCCCCTTCTATTGGAGGAAAAGTCACAAGTAGTCAAAAAATAGTCTGGGGACGATGTTTCGGTTATGTTCTGACTATTTTCGAATATTTGTCTGACTATTCTTAACGATTCCTTCAGAATCCGCCTGTAGGAGGGCATGCCCGACCTCAAGCTAATCGGGGCAACCGAAAGGCGAATTGCCCCGCGTGCGGGAGGAGGGAGCGAAGGCGAGGGCGGCCGCGCCAGGGGAGGAGGGGGGAAGCGCTCAGACGCGAAAGGGTTCCGCGACGAGCAGGCCGGAGCGGCCAGCCGGGGCCACCCTGGGAGAGGCCCCAGGATCCAGTACCAGTTTCCTCCGTACCCCTTTCTCTCATGCGAGCGGCAGACGAGAAACGTAACCAATGAAGAGAGGCCGATGTTGGCGTACAGTAGGGGCGCGCATCAAGAAATGGACTGCTTTTCGTCAGGCTACCCTGGGTTTCTTCGCTCCGCGCCGTGCGGGGTGGCTTCCCGCGGACGTTGAAGGAGCTGCTGCGTTCAGGGCGACCTGAACTTCCCCCACTTGCATCTCCCGCCTGCGGGTTTCAGGGCTGGGTTGCTTGCGAGGGTTTCTTGCGGCCGCGTCCGAACTGTACCCAGGATGTCCTCTGTCGGCCAGTGTTGGTTTGAGGCTCCCTGAGTTGCCGCTGGATTGCCCAGGGGCATGGTCGGGTAGCACAGCGAGCGTCACCCGTGAAAGCTAACACCGTCACGCGGTGTTGTTCTGTATGTTGAAGCAGGCGGTCGCCAAACCGAAGTGTTGGATCAGCCTGCGCAGACCCAGGAGTGAATCGAAACATCACATGTATACACATACAGTCGGGGCGCTGAAGAAGGAACCCTTTTCGTTGGGGAGGGGCTTGGTGTTCCTTGGTTGTTTAACGGGTTGCCTCGGATGTTCCTGATGTTCCATGGTACATCGAAGTTTAACGTGTGGGAAAATGGGGCCTCCTTTGTTTGGTGGGGCTCCTTATGGCAACGCCCCGACTGTACATGCGTGGATATATATATACATATATATACATGCATACATATACATATACATGTACATACATACATACATGTATGCATGCATGCATACATAAATACATGCATACAGACATGCATGCATGCATACATACATACATGCATACATGCATACGTGCATACATGCATACATACATACAAACATGCATGCATGCACACATACACCTACATGCATGTATGCATGCAGACATTCACACATGCATGCATACGGAAATACAAACATACATACATACATACATACATACATACATACATACATACATACATACATACATACATACATACATACATACATACGCACATATACACACACAACGGGGAGTCGGGTCTGGGGGGCCCCGTGCCAGCCCACCGACCGCAAAACATGTGCGGACTGCGCTGCCCGGGGCCCTGCCGGCGCGCCCCAGAGGCCATCCGAGAGCGCCCGAACACGGCCCCGGGTTAGTTGAGAACGGAGGAGGAGGGGGAGGAGGAGGAGTACCCAACACAGGAGGGGGAGGGTTGATCGTCGTTCCCTTTTTCATTCTTTTGCCGATCGGCCTAGGCCCTCGCACCCTCCCCCCCCATGGAGTAGATCTTGGCTGCTTTGGGACGCCTGTTTCGAGCAGGTGGAGCCTCCCCTCATAGGACCCACTGCTGCAAACAGCCGCGCTACGCAAAATGCCAGAGCCAGACCCCTCCATGCCGGTCCAAGATCGGCCAGAATTGGCGCCGCATTGTCCAAGAGGCCTACAAGAGGCCTCCGCGAGGCTTCCAGAGAGCCTCCACGAGGCCTCCTCAGAGGCAGAATTCATTCATGGATCAAAGATTTTTGAGGGATGCCGGTTTTCTCGCCGTTTCGGCTTCCCAGCGCTCCAAGGCGGCCCGAGACGCTGCCAAGGACGCCCCAATATTACCCAAGAGGCTCCCAAGAGAGCCCCAAGACGCCCCGAGACAGCTCCAAGACGGCCCGAGAGGGTTCCAATCCGTAGCCATTTTGGCTCAAGCCTGGCTCAAAGAATCGGTGTGAATCGCTGTGCTTTGATCTGATGGGTTCCTCAGGCTGCAGAGGTACCAGTGCTTCTGTTCCTGCGGAGCCTTCCTGTGGAGCCAGTGATGTGGATGCATCTGCTTCGCCAGCCGCTGATGGTGCCCTGAACCCAGTCAGCAGCTTTGGTCTCAACCTGTTTGCACGGCTTGCTGGATCCTCTCCAAATGTGTTCATATCGCCGTTCTCTATTTCGACATCTTTGGGTTTGGCGGAAATAGGCGCTACGCTTGGATCCCCAACCTCGAAGGCCTTCGAGACCGTTCTCGGACGTCCAGCAAATTCAGCGGTGAGCGACCTTCACACGGCAGGTTTGGGCGATTGCGAGCTGCTCATCGCCAGCTCTGTTTGGTCAAGGGGAGCCCTGCTTGCAGAATACGTGGAGGCTGCATCGAAGACGTTCGATGCGATTGCGTGCGAACTGCCTTCGCACGCGGAGCCGGTCAACAAATGGGTCTCGGAGAAGACTCAGGGCCGTATTGAAGGACTTGTGGACGATGACGTTGTTCGCGATCCGCTCACCGTTGCTTTGCTGATCAATGCAGTGTTCTTCAAAGGTTCATGGGCGAAGCAGTTCGACAAAGCCAAGACGCAGTCCGCGAAGTTCACTACTTCGGACAAAGGCGATTTGCAGTGTCAAATGATGAACATGTCGGGCCTCACGATTCAAGTCGCTGAGGCTGAGGCAGCAACGAGTATTGCCTTGCCTTATAGTCAGGACGCCGTCCGTGCCGTTCTCATGTTGCCAAAGTCCCAGAGCTCAGATGCTGCAGAGAAGCTTGCTCTCCGTCTTTCTGCTGGTGGCTGGAAAGAGTTGAGGCCCACGAAGCAGGCCCAGCAGAAAGTTACAGTGGGATTACCGCGCTTCAAAGTCAGCTTTGGAGTTGCAGACGTCGCCCCACACCTCAAAGCCATGGGCTTGGCTGAGGCTTTCGGCGGGACTGGCCAATTCCTTCGCATGAGTGCCGACCCCGACGTTCATATTGATGCGGTCTTGCACAAAGCAGTTCTGGAAGTTAGTGAAGAGGGTACGGTAGCCTCGGCAGCGACGGCGGCCGTCATGATGACAAGGAGCCTCCCGCCGCCCGAGCAGGTTGTTGTCTTCGATCGGCCTTTCATTTTTGCGATCGAGCACGTTGCCTCCGAAGAGCTGCTATTCGTTGGATTGATGGGTTCGCCTGAGTTCTTCTGAATGTTTTGTTTCCACGGATCCCCGGAGATGCATCCCTGCCCTGACCACGCGGCGCCTCCCGGCCACTGCTCAAAAAAAAGACGGCCCGAGAGGGTTCCAAGACGGTCTAAGAAGCCACCCAGACGGCCCCAGATGCTCCCAAGACGACTCCAGAGAGGATCCAGATGGGGGCCCCGAGCGAACATTTCGAGCCCTCGGCCCCGAGAGGCCCCCAGGAAGCTCCGAGAGGCCCCCAAGAACCCCGCAAGAGGCCCCTGCGAGGCGTCCAAGAGGCATCACGAGGCCTCCGCGAGGCCCCCTAAAAAGGCCAAAACCATAAATGTTTCAGAGGTTCCCGCAGGATTTTCACATTCCAGCCTTTTCGGCTTCCCAACGCTCCAAGGCGGCCCGAGACGCTGCCAAGAGGCCCCTAAGGTCGCCCCAAGATTGCCCGAGAGATTCCCAAGAGAGCCCCAAGACGCTCCGAGAGAGGTCCAAAACGGCCCCGAGAAGGCTCTAAGACGACCGAAGAGGCTTCCAAGACGGCCCCAGAGGCTTCCAAGACGTCTTCAGGGAAGGTCCAGACGGGGGCCCAAAACTGACATTTCGAGCCCTCCGCCCAGAGAGGTCCCCGGAAGCATCGAGATGCCCCCAAGAAGCGCACAAGAGTCCCGAAGCGGCCTTCCCAAATGAGCCTCGACACCCCGACAGGGCCCCACTAAGGCCTCCACGATGGCCTCCACACGGCGGCGATCATCAGATTCTGGAGAGTCTTCTGGGAACGTGATTCTCGTCGCCCGTCATCGGGCCGGCAGGTTCTCTAGAGTTTCACATGAATTCCGACACGCCGACGGGCTCACAGAAACTTCCACGAGGGCTTCCACACGGGAGCGCTTTCAGGTTCCCAGAGAGCCTTCTGGGAACTTGAAAGCGCGCCCGTCATCGGAGCAGGAAGTTTTCCAGCATGTCCCTGTGTTCATCTGAAGAGCCCTCCGCGAAAATGATCTTCGCAGCCGGTCCGAGAACGACACGACGAGGAGGAGGAGGAGGAGGAGGAGGAGGAGGAGGAGGAGCAGGGGCCGAACGCTCCCCAAGAACACCGTCAAAAGAAAAGAAGACGATCAGTGGGTGCGGGGGAGGAGGCGGGGGCTGCGCATACATATATATATATATAGTTATATATATGTGTATATATGCATACGTACATACCTATGCATATATACACATATCTATATATATACATACATATATATATGTATGCATATCTAATGTATACGTGTGTGCAGATGTGCATGTGTATATGTGTATGTAGGGATGTATGAATGTATGGATTTATGTATGGATGTATGTGTTTATACATGCATGCATGTACGTAGGTAGGTAGCTGGGTAGATCGGTGGGTAGGTCGGCAGGTAGGTAGGTAGGTCGGTAGGAATATATATATATATATATATATATATATATAGGAATGAAAGTATGGCACAATGGCATATATATATATATGTATACATTATAGGTGTGATGTACAGATGCACATAAACATATACACATGCTATCATCAAATACCACTCTCTCCCCTGGGGCTCCGTCAAGGTCGCTGCCATCGGCGGCAAATCCCCGGCACCACCCACCCTGGGCGTCCAGGAGGGCCCCCGGAGGGCCTGAAGACGGCCCAGGCCCCCGAGACAGGCCAAGAGTGTTCCAGAGCTGTCTGAGCCAGCCCCCCGACGGGTCCGGGAGCCCCCACAGGGCATTCAAGATCGCTCCAAGAGGCTTCCATTCAGTCGGGCCTGTCCCTCTACAGGAGAAATTCTACAGGGGACGGTTTTTTGACTAATTTTGAGTATGTTTGGCCAGACTTTGATTGTTTGAAAAGTGTCATCCAAAATCCGCCTGTAGGAGGACACGCCCGACATAAGACTTCCAAGAGTCCCCCAAGAGCTGCGGGGAAGCCCTCCAACCAATGGGAAAGCAGTGATTGTCTGTTGTCTCGCACTTCCGCCTCCCGCACGCTTCCGAGGCATGCGCATGCCCCCCAAGAGAGCTCCAAGAGGCCCCCAAGGGGCGTTCCGAGCGGCTCGAAGCGGCCCCAAGAGGCCACAAGATGTTCCCACGACGCCCGAAGGGGCACTTCCGAGGCCCCAAGGACGCTTCGAGCAGGCCCCGACGAGCTCCCAGGAGCCGCCCCAGAGGTACCCAGCGCCGAAGAGGGCCCCGAGAAGTCCCCAAGAGCTCCCAAGAGGCCCCCAGGAGAGCTCCAAGATGACCCCAAGAGGCGTCCCAAGTGGCTCTTGGGGGCCTGCGCAAGCCTCGGAAGCGCAGCGGTGGTGGAAAAGCGACAACACCGACACCACGATGGGTCCCTGAAGTGTTGCAAGGATTATGGCCTCTCGAGGGCTTTCCTGGAGCTCTTGAGGGACTCGTGGAGGCCTCCTGGGGCGATCTTGGGTGCTCTTGGGGGCCTTCAGCGCCAATCCCCTCACATATGGTTTTTTCAAGCTGGATCCCCCCCCTTCCGTTTCCTCCCGGCCCAGGCCTTGGCGTGTTTTAGAGTGCGTTTCCGTTTTCCCCATCCCTCGCTGTCCGTTATTTTTGTTCTCTCTCTCTCTCTCTCTTTTCTCTCTCTCTCTCTCTCTCTCTCTCCTTTTCTTAGTTCTACTCCGTCGTTTGTTCCACATCCTTCTCCCTCCTCTCTTCCTCCCTCCTCCCCGCTGCGTCATTTCCCCGTCTCTCCTTCACGCATTCCTCTTTCCGCCTCCCTCATGCGTTTCCGTCTCCCCCATCCCTCATCCTCATCTCTCCTTACTCCTTCCTCCCCCCCTCCCTCACCCAGCATCCTGCTCTACTATGTGGTGGGAGGCCCAGCTTGAAAAAAAGGGAACTCCCTCAAGTCTTTTTGTTTCGGGGTCTACCCCTCCCCTGCGTTTCCTCTTGTCCCAGGCTCTGGCGTGCCCACAAGTGCGTTTCCAGTTTCCCCATCCCCCGCGGCCCGTTCTCCTCGGACAAGGCCAACCCCGTCCACGACAGGTCGAGACTTTCCGATGCAGAACCCCACAAGACAGGCCCCTATGCCCAAGATAGGCCAAGAAGGTCCTCCCCCCCGCTGCTCCCTTCTTCCCCCCCCTCCTCCTCCTCCGCCTCCCTCCTCCTCCTCCTCCTCCTCCTCCTCCTCCTCCGCCTCCTCCTCCTTCTCCTCCTCCTCCCCCTCCTCCTCCTCCTCCTCCCCCTCCTCCTCCCCCTCCCTCCCTGGCATCGTACGGACACGCGCATGTGTTTTTCAGGCATGGGCGATGCGTCCGGGCGTGCCAGGACCGAAGAGGGGCTTAGGAAGGCCACTGGAGTAGCCCAGCACGGCTCCCGAGGCCCCCAAGAGAGGCCCCCAAAAGACCGGCCCCAGAAGGGCCCCAAGCAGGCCTCGGGCCCTTCCATGTTCCGACAAGTGCCCTCCACCCACGACGTTCCCGCAAAGGTCCCCAAGACGCCCCCAAGGCGTGCCCAAAAAAGGGCCCAATGAGGCCCCGGACCCCTCCATGTTGCCGTGCCGCCCCGGCCTGCCGTGCCGGTCTGCCGTGCTGATCTCCCGTGCTGGTCTGCCGTGTTGGTCCGCCGTGTTGGCCTCCCATGCTTGTCTCACTCCTCAGTCTCTCTCTCTCTCTCTCTCTCTCTCTCTCTCCGTCTATTGTGAAGGCCTGACGGCCAGTGCCGCCGACCCTGAAAGACATCGACGACGACCGGGAGGGGGAGGAGGAGGAGGAGGAGGAGGAGGAGGAGGAGGAGGAGGAGGAGGAGGCGGAGATAAGAAGGAGGAGGAGGAGAAGGAGGAGGAAAAGGATTCACTCCTCAGTCTCTCTCTCTCTCTCTGTCTCTCTCTCTCTCTCTCTCTCTCCGTCTATGTTGCTCGTGCTATGTCTCGCTCTTTGCGCCCCTTTCCATCGAATGCCATGAATTACGCGAGGCGGGGCGTCTTATTGCGTGGGCAGGGGGGTAAACGTAAGTCGGGCCTGTCCCTCTACAGGAGGAATATCCAAAAATACAAACAAAAAAAACGTCTGGTGAAGATTTGTTGAGTATGTTTGAGCATGGTTGTGTATTGTTTGGCTATTTTTATTTTTCGTCCAAAATCCGCCTGTAGGGGGACATGCCCGACCTAAGGGTAAACCTCTCCCGAATGTGAAGAAGGGGGCTGGAAGAGGAAGCGCTCGAGACCACTTCTGCCCAGAGGGCTGGTGAGATTGTTGCATGTTCGGGACGGGACGGCTTGCGCGGTGCGACGGGTTGGGCCGCACATCGAAGCAGCAAAGGGTCTTCCCCGAACTACAGATCCGTTCTTCCCCCTCGCCCTCCTTCTCCGAGCCATATTGCTGCAGGGACCCTGCACTCGTCCACCACCCCGTTTGAGGCCCTGGGGGAAACTTCAGGACAACAGGGTTGCCCTGCGAGAAGGCTCTCCCCGAGTTTGAGATGATGACGCAGATCGCGCAGTCCAGTCCCTTCAAGGCTGTATGATGTACGCCCCCTGGATGGTTTTTGAGAGTGCGCATGATGTGGGTGGGGAGATTGCAGCGGGGACAGGTGCAGGGGATACGCTCATGAACGAGCAGAATCAGCTGGATCTCCTGCGCCTTCTGCCCGCCGGCACTCTGTACCGCGAGATTCAGCACTCAGGCCTGGGGAGCCAGAGGCCTCAAAAGGAGCAGCGTGCAGTAATCGTTGGGAGCCGACCTGTGCCGCTCACATGTGCATGTGAACGCGTGCGCGCGTCGAGTGCAGAGTGCGCGCATGCATCTTTGTGCCCCCCTCCCTCTTCTCCCCTGCGTGCATCCCCCTCTTCCCACACCCTCCTCCTGTTCCTCCTCCCTCCTCTTCCTCTTCCTCCTCCTCCTCCCTCCCCTGCGCCTCCATCGCCCCCCTCTCCATTCCTCCACTCCTCCATTCCTCCACTCCTCCTCCTCCTCCTTTTCCTCCTCCTCCTCCTCTTTCTCCTCCTCCTCCTCCTCTTTCTCCTCCTCCTCCTCCTCCTCTTCCTCCTTCCACCCCCTGTTCCTCTTTCTTCTCCTCATTCGCATCCTCCTCACCACCAGCATCCCTCACTATCCTCTTCTTCCTTCTATTCCTCCTCCTCCTCCTCCTCCTCCTCCTCCTCCCTCCTCCTCTCCTCCTCCTCCTCCTCCTCCTCCTCCTCTCCTCTGGCCGACGTCGACGCCGACGCCGACGCCGATGACGACGACGACGACGACGAGGACGACGACGAGGACGACGAGGACGACGACGACGACGAAGACGACGACGACGGTGGCGGCAGCGGCGGCGGCGGCGGCGGCAACAGCGGCGGCGGCGGGGAGTTACGTCGTCGTCGACGTTGGCGGCCGCGGCGACGCGCGCGCGCGCGCGCAAGGCCACTCCGTCCAGTGGGAGGAGCACGGCGCGCGGGCGGTCGCGTCCCTGCTGGCGAACCGCTCGCTCTTCGCCGGGCAGCCCGCGGCGGTCGCCGCAGGCGGGCCGCCTCGTCGGCAGCTGCCGCCGGGAAGGGCAGCGCTGGCCTCCCACAATGGCGGCCTGCTCGGCCCTCTCCGCTGGCAGCTCGACCACCGCGCGGTGCGAGCTTGGCCGACCGCCCCCGCGCCCGGGGTTCCGCAGCTCGAGGTCATCGAGTGTGTCGTCGCTGCCGCGTGTCCGCTGGGCGCCGCCGCCCACGACACGCAGCATCATGCCCTGCACAGCCTCCCACTGCCTGCCCTGCTGGAGGGTGATGAGGGAAGCGGGTCCTGGAGTTGTGCTGCTCCCACCGTACTCACGGACCACATCCCAGGAATGATTTCGAGCACCCTGGAGAGGAATCGAGACAGTGCCGAACGAGCAGTGCCTCCCAGGGCCCGACGCGGGAAGACCTCCAGTGCAGGCATTGCCCTGGTGCTCGAAGTTCTTCCTGGTGGTCCGGGCTAAAGTAGGCTGGAGCATCATAGTTCTGGAGGATTTCCTCTGTTTTCGGGTCTCGGGCCCATCCCCAGACCCCACGACCGTCAAAAACCGGCTCCGGATGAAAACCTGGTTCCATGTGCGAGCCCCCAGGATCCAGGACCGGTTGGCGCCAGGACCCGCTCTCTTAGTGGCAAGCGTCGCCAGTCTCCAGTCGTCGGCGGCGTCGTTCTCCTCGTCTGACTCCAGGAGGAGGGACGTCATCAAAGGGCCGCAGAGCTGTGCAGTGAGTTCTGGAGGTCTGCGGCGGTTTCACTTATCATTGTCACTCGCCATCTTCCGTGGAGGAGGAGCAGGAGGAGGAGTAAGGGAGGACGAGAGGGGACCAGAGCAAACCAGGATGCGTCGAGGATGCTGCAATACACCATCCCATACCACCCATCAGGTCCTGCAAGCATGATGCTCGCTGCGGGAGACGCCCCCTTGAAAGGCGAGCGGCCCACGGGTAAGAGGAGCCGCCCTCTGCCCTCCATCTGCGCTCCTTCTGCACAGTGGCAATGTTCAGGGCGTAGACGTTGAGGACGTCGTGAGACCAGAGTTCGGTTTGCATTCGAAATGCCTTCAACCCGTGCAATTCAGGGATGGACAGACCTCCGTTCAGCAAAACCTGGTTTAGTGAAAACGACCTGAGGCCCAAACCCGGCGGGCGCAAGCCTGGAAAATAACGGCCGCGGCGCCCTCTCGAGAACCGAAAACGGACAATTCACTAATCGACGTGTCACTGTTGGGGGTTCTGTCCGCCCAGGAGTAATTGTTGAGAACCTGTGGACGTCTGGTCGCAAAGTTGGGCGAAAGCTCAATCGAGTGCCCAATGGTGAACAGAACCCCTTCCATCCGCAGAGCTGATGCAACACTGATCAGGCGAAAGCGAGTGGCGCTACAGCGAGAGCGCCATGTTGAAAATGAATCGCCTTCTGTCCGTGTAAATGCTGCAAAACGTTCAGACGAACCCGCGCAGCGGGGCCCCGCCACGCCCTCCCAGCGCCGCCGTCGCCAGCCCGCGAGGCGGCGACGGACGGTGGGCCCATCCCGAGGGATAGGTTCACCGCCGCGCCGAAGACCGCTACAGTGGCCCAGCTCCCGGCGCGGGGCGAGCCGCCCAGCAGCAGCGCCGCTCGGCACCGCGCCGGCAGACGCTCCCGCTCCCGCTCCTCGATGCTGTCGCGGGTGCGGCGAGCAGGACTGCGACGGGGCGCGTGATGCGCGTTGGGCGCATTCTGCACGCGGCCGGAATGAAATACAGTCGGACGGAGGTGTAAGGTCGAGGTCGGTTCGGGGAAGGTGCCCTCATGTTCTTCATGTTTGTTGGATGTTCCTGTGCATCCTGGGGGAGGGCACCCTTGAATGATCCGAGGGGTTGGGTTGCGTTGGCCGGCGGAGGGCTTCATGCTCTTGAAGCATGTTCTTCTGGCCTAGGTCCGACTGTACCTGCTGCTTCAAGCGTGGCCCGCGTCCATCTTTGCCCCCCGGCGGTCTGGGCCGTCGGGAGTGCAGTCGCGCAACGGGTTTGCGATCGTCGGCGTTGTCCGAGTGACGTGAGCATCCCGCAACCCCGAGTTGCCCGAATGCCGTACAGTGAGACAGCACGACGATGCGAACTGCATGTGAGCCTATCCATTGCAAGCAGCACATCTGCGCTGCCTGAAGCCGACTTCCGCCTTTTCTTCTAACGTGTTCCTTGATCGATGCTTCCGAGCAAGAGGAGCACGTTCCTTACGATTTGACCTGCATTGCGGTATGACCATTGTTTATGTGACGATTCGTTCTGCTCGGCTAATTGCCTGCCTGTTGCGTGGCATGACTTCTGTTATCAGGGAGTGGTGGCTGCGACCCCGACAGTCTTTGCTCCACGGCACCGCACGGCGCCGTGCAAGCAGCAGCCCGTCGGTCCTCGTCCTCCGTGCTGCCCCTCCTCGCCGTCGTCGTTGTCGTCTTCCTGGCGTCACCGGCGCCGCTCTCCTCTCCTTTGCCTCAAGTCGGGCATGTCCCTCCACGGGAGGAAGATTCAAGAATCGTCAAAAAACAGTCGGGGACGATGGCTTGACGATGGTTGGGCTATTCTGGGGGCATGCTTCGACTATTATTTTATTTTTCGTCCCAGATCCGCCCGTGGGAGGACACGCCCGACCTGACGCTTGCCGTGCGCCCCCCCCCCCCCCCTGCGGAGGCAACCTGGCCGTCGACTGGACGGCCGCCGTCCTCGGCTGCCTGCTGCTTCTGTTGGCGCTAGGCCGCGCTCCGTCGTCCACTGCGTACAGTCAAAAACCCTCATAAGGACGCGCGACTTTGCTCAGGGTACCCTTGCGTCCTTGCTCTTCCTTGCTCTTGCGTCCTTGGAGTTTTCGTCGTCCGCCGCCCCAACAAATCCCACCTTCGGCTTCCAAGGGTCTTGCGTCCTTACCGCGCGTCCTTATGAGGGTTTTTGACTGTATCCTCGCCCTCCTCCTCCTCCTCCTCCTCCTCCTCCTCCTCCTCCGCCTCCGCCTCCGCCTCCGCCTCCCACTCCTCCTCCGACTCCGACTCCGACTCCGACTCCGACTCCGACTCCGACTCCGACTCCGACTCCGACTCCGACTCCGACTCCTCCTGGACAGCCGCCGTCCTCGGATGCCTGCTGCTCCATCGTCTGTCCTCGCCCTCTGCTCGTCGTGTCCGTGCGCCGGTCGGGGGGGGGCACGCGTGGGGCCTGCTCGGCGAGGGGCCCCGCACCGCACCTGGGCAGCGAAGGCCCGCCCCACCGCACGTGGCTGGCTGGAGCCGCAGGAGGAGGAGGAGGGAGGAGGGAGGAGGAGGAGGAATGAGGAGGAATGAGGAGGAGGAGGAGGAGGAGGAGGAGGAGGATGAGGAGGAGGGAGGAGGAGGGAGGAGGAGGAGGAGGAGGGAGGCGGAGGAGGAGAGGAGGAGGAGGAGGAGGGAGGGTGAGGACGAGGAGGAGGATGAGGAGGAGGAGGAGGAGGAGGAGGAGGGCGGAGGAGGAGGGAGGAGGTGGGAGGAGGAGGAGGAGGAGGACGAGGGAGGAGGAAGAGGAAGGGGAGGATGCCAGGGGGGCCCGCACCGCGTTGGGCAGCGAAGGCCTGCCCCATCCCACGTGGCTGGTTGGAGCCGCAGGAGGTCCCCGAGACCCAGGAGCCACGATGTTGTCCACGTCAGACGTTGTCGCCCCCTTTCGGGGCTTGGGACCCTCTTTGATCGATCTTCGATGACGGCAGGCCCGGGTCGTGTCAGTGCGGCGGCGTTCCCAGCGGGGGCATTCAAGCTTGAACGCCTCCAGTGGCCTGGAACCCGTCGACATCGAAAGATCTGCGTTCGTGGAAAGCCGCGGTGTCAAGAGCGAAAGCGCAAGGCGTCACGACGCGAGCGTGCCACACACGTAGAGTGACCTTTCGCTAGGGTGGCCTCGAGTGCGGCCCCACAGGGCCCCTCCCCACGAAACTGGGCAGTGTTCTCGCACTCGTGTGCTTGAGTTTGCCCCCCCCCTTTCCCCGGCCCCTGAAGCCGCGCACCAAGATGAGGAGGAGGACGAGGAGGACGAGGAGGAGGAGGAGGAGGAGGAGGAGGAGGAGGAGGAGGAGGAGGGGCACCTGTGCCACTGGGTGCCTTCGGGCGCCCCAGGAAAACAGGCGGGTAACAGCCCGTTCGTCACCCCTGTTTGCCCGTAGGGGGCCAGGGGGAGAGAAAATTGCACCTTCGTCGCCACGTTTCCCACCCCTTGCGGTGGCCCGGCCCGTACGCCCAGGGCGGATGGGGGGTGCCCTTCGGGGGGCTCATGGCGGAACCACACCCGTCCTTCCCACGGCCAGGGGCCCCCGCCGTGGCGCGCGTGGGGGTGTGCGGTCGCCCGGGGGAGTGGCGCCCCTCGATCGGGGCGGCACTGGGGGTGTCGTTTTCTGAGCCCTGCGGGGCGGACGCAGCTCGAAAACCGTTTAGGTAGGGAGGTTTGTTCCCCCCAGCTGTTTTGCTCTCTGCTGCCTGCCAACTCGTTAGCATGTTTCCCCCAGGCTCTTCACCGCAGGAGCTTGTGGGTCGCGCAGCGATCCGTGGTGTGTTGGGGCAGCCGACCCCGACTCACCCTGTGCATTTCTAGATGTTCGCGCTTTCATTGTAGGGGATCCAGGCACCAACGGAGCAAAGGACGAGGAGGAGGAGGAGGAGGAGGAGGAGGAGGGCGAGGAGGAATGAGGAGGAGGAGGAGGAGGAGGAGGAGGAATAGGAATAGGAGGAGGAGGAGGAGGGGGGTGAGGGGGGGAGGAGGAGGAGGAGGAGGGGGAGGGGATGAGGAGGAGGAGGACGAGGAGGAGGAGGAGGAGGAGGAGGAGGAGGAGGACGAGGAGGACGAGGAGGACGAGGAGGACGAGGAGGAGCACGAGGACAAGGGGGAGGAGGAGGAGGAGGAGGAGGAGGAGGAGGAGGAGGAGGAGGAGGAGGAGGAGGAGGAGGAAGTGGAGCAGGAGGCCCTCGCGCCGCGCAGACCGCTGCTCACTCTTGCTGAGGGTCACCCTGGCTCGGAGCCGCACGGAGATCGAGCAGGCTCAAGAAGGATGCCGCAGAAGTTTTGCAGTCGAGGGTTCCAGGCACCCCCCGTCCCTTTAGGTAGGTGGATCTCTCAAGCTTTCCGCCGCCTCTGGCTGTGTGCGTTGCGAGCAAGAACACAGCAAAGCCACAGGAAAGCGCGGCATTGACAGGGTAGCTCCGCACACGTGACACATGTTAACGAGCAGGAACACAGCAAAGCCCCAGGAGAGCGAGGCATTGACAGGCCGCACCCTGAGGCCGCGGCGCACCAAGGGCCACTCTTGCCTGGGGCCGCTCTTGCGCGTATCTCCGGGCTTGATTTGTGTTCGCTATCTGTCAGCGGCGAGCGAGGGGGGGAAGTGATGAACAGTAGAAGGCCTTCTCAGAGGGCGGCGGGACTTTTCAGAGGCCTTCGCGCCTTCTGAGAGGTTTGTTTGTGGGTTCGGGGGAAGGCTTAGAAAACTTCTCTGAAGGCCGGGGGGGGTCCGAGCCTTCTGTGAAGGCCTTCTCCTTCTCATTGTCCCCTTTTGCTCGCCGCCAAATCCAAATCTACTGTCGCAGGTCCCAGGGGTTGGCGGATACTGGCGGGAGCGCGAGATGCAAACCCAGCTAATCCAAGGATCTTCGCTCGGCGGCGACGGAAACTCCCACCCAGACCTTCGAAGTTCTCATTCTTCAGTACGCGGACCCCCCAGGGCCCTCGACCCCTCCCTGTGGACCGGTCTGCTCGTCCTCGAGACAGTCGCCGTAGCCCCTTTGATTCGAGCCAAGGGCGGCGCCGTTTGCTCGACCCACGCCTGCTCGCTTGCGCCCGCGGACCAAAACAACAGTCGTCCTGGAGCGTTCCCAACAGTCCCGTGGCCCCGCCCGCGGCCCCCAGTGGCCCCCAGTGGCCGTTTTTCGTGCCTCGATCGATCGTCGATCCTCGGAGGCGCCTGCCTCCGCTCGATCGGTCCTCGATCCTGGATCGATCCTGCGTCGGTCTTCGATCCTCGCGGGCGCCCGCTAGCGCTCCGCCTCCTCGCCGGCCGTTTCGGTCGCCGTCGCGGCAAGCACCACTGAGCCCTGCGGCACGGAGCCCTGCGGCACGCCGATGCATGGTCGGGCTTGTGATTTCCAGATAAGAGATCTGTGTGCCAGGGCTGGACCTAAACGCTGTTTTGCTGGACTTCCGCTGTATTTGGTTTTTCGTTGTTTCCCCAACCAACCTGTGGTGTTCGGTCCTCGTTTTGGAGAGACAGCGCCCCGCGTTCCTTCCTTCCTTCCCGCTGCCCCCTCCCTCCTGCACCTCCTCCCTCCTCCCATCCGCCTCGTCATCGTCATCGTCCTCATCGTCATCATCGCAATCGTCATGACCCAACCCACATCATCATGATCATCACCATCGCCATCATCAGCGCCGCGCCCCTCACACGGCTCGTGGCACCTCAGGGAGCCCCACCGAAGGCCAAAGTGGCAGCGGTTGTATGCGTCACCGCCGCCCCATTTTGGCACATCCTTCACATGCTTCGTGGCCCCAGAGGGAACTCCACCGAAGGCCCCAGCGGGAGCGTCCGCACGGCACCGCCGCCCCATTTTGGCACCCCCCTCACACGGTTCGTGGCCACATAGGGAGTTCCATTGAAGGCCCCAGTGGGAGCGTCCGCATGGCACCGCCGCCTCATTTTGGCGCACCCTTGACACGATTC